GAGAGAGAGAGAGAGAGAGAGAAAGTGAGAAATCCCACCCCACAATCCCTTCTCTACTCAATGAGCATTTAGGAATCCCCCCACACACACACATACCCCTGCCTGTTTCTCAATCCTAGGGGTCAGGACTCAAACCGCCTGGGGCACCATGTGGGATCCAGCCGCCTTAACCATTGCTACCTGGCTGCCCTCAAAATAAGCTATTTTAATTCAAGTCTTCCATTACATTTCGAAGTCCCTTCAGAGTTGTATACACACATTCATTGAGATCACTGTAGAGTCAACTAGCATTGGAAGAAACAGATCCCTTATGCAGTTTGCCTCGCTTCCCCGGTTAGGTTTTGCAAACTCCAGCAACCGCCACCACCATACTGACACTGGGAAACCACCCGTTTGATTCCGAGTTCCCCAGTGTGTGCCCTTAAAAAAAAAGTTACCTATTTATTTTTACTTATTTATTCATTTATTTTAATGTGACCAGAGAAAGATATTGAGAGATACAGAGAGGTGAAAGTAAGAAAGCAAGCCGCCAGGTCTGGGAGTCAAACCACAATCGACCATGTGGGGAGTCCAGCGCTTCAACCACCACGCCACTCGCAGGCGCCAGTGTGTGCCCTTTTAATGATCCGACCACCAAGGCTTTGACCCGAGCTGGCCTCACCCCGCTGCCGTGTCCCCCAAACTGTAAAGAGGCCATCGGGCGGAACTGACACTCGTGCAGTGCGTGCTGCGCGCCTCCTGCCCGAGTCACCTCTAATCCCACGACAGTTTGTGCAGACAGGCCGGAGGGGTTGGGGGCCGGGGTCCCAGCCCAGGGCTAATCCGCCGGCTGCGCACCGCCCGAGGGCCAGCCAGCCAACCAACAGGACCCCCAGGGCCCTGCCGGGAAGCGCCTGAGCTGAATGTTCCGGCGTGGCGTGACCCTACGCTCGGGTTCCAGCCAGAGGGCGAGCGAGGCGGGGCCGGCCTCCCCGCGAGTCCCAGCTCGCGAGCGCGGAGCCCTGCGCAGGGGTGAGCCCGGGGGACGCCGGGAAACCGCACGCGCCCCGCCCTCTAGGCCATTCCGGGAGCCTCCGGGCCGTCCGCCTTCCGCCACCGGATTGGTTGCGGCACTCTGCTGAAGCCCCGCCCATTTCCCCGGGTCCTTTGATCACGCGCCTGGTGGCTCTTCCGGGACCCGGGAGCCAACCGAGGGCGTTACTGTCTGGGCTGCAGCGGCGGGAGGTAAGGCACGGCCACCGGACTGCAGCGCACCAGCGTGGCTGCATGCATTTAGATGCCGAGATTCAGGATGCCCGGGCGCGGCGCCGCTCCCCGCTCCCCCCTCACCCCAACCCTGGCCCGAGCTTCCCCGCGCCGTGAGAAGTACCTCCCGCCTGCCGTAGCTGGCACAGATCTTAGGAGTGGCCTGACGTCCCTCCCTTCCCCTGCATGCGACCTGGGACAGAGAGCATGCGACTGGGTATGGGCAAGCCAGTGCCCATGGACACGAGGACAGGTAGAAACACCTTGCCCTCTGACGAAAACCTAGGCTAACCAAGGTCAGGGACCGTGGGCCACCTGCGTGCCCCAGCCCCAGCAGGACCTCCTCACTGCTGTCGATGGGTCTGACCCTCTACCTCGACCTGTCAGCCCTGGCCAGGAGGGGAGGGACCTGGGTGGAGCCCGGGGTGGGAACCAGAGAGAGGTGACATCATCTGCAAAATCCAGCCCTTAACCACTTGTGTCCACGCGGGCATGAGCGATGAGAGAGAGGATTCCTGGCTATAGGTGACACTGGGGACAAGGATGGCACAGAGCCCAGACATGGGACCTGTAGCTGGGGATGTGGGGATTGGGCCAGGGCAGAGATGGGCTCTCACCTTACCCCAACCTCATCTCCATTTTGCACACTGTATAGGGCTGGCAGCAGAGGCCCCAGGTGGTGTGGGCAGGAGCTGGGAGCCTGCACCTAACCTTTCCCCGGAAGTTGAGGCTCTTGTTTGTCCTGAATTTGAGTGGGCCCCACCCTGATTCAGGGATAGGACTGGGCAGACTCCAACTCAGGACCGGAGCCTTCCTTCCCTGGGTACCCCTTCCACCCAGTGATTTTCTGAGTTGTCGGGGTTACGCCAGCTCCTTTATCTAAAGGATCCCTGGTCCTAATGTTGGACCTGGGACCAGGTATTTTTTTTTTAAAGAATTATTTCATTTAACTTTTATTTATCTTACTTAAATTTGACCAGAGAGGGACAGAGTGAGAGAGAGGGAAAGTGAGAAAGCAAGCCGCCAGGTCCAGGACTTGAACTGTGCTCAGCCACGTGAGAGTCCAGTGCCCTTAACCACGCCACCTGCTGCAGGCCCCTTCCCAGTCTTCATAGATCCCTAGATTTGTGGGAGGGGCTGGGGTTAGCTGGGGTGCAGCTCTGTCCTCACCACGTCAGGGGACACAGCGACTTCTTTCTCCTCTCCAGGGAGCCCAGTGGAGGCGCCCTCCCGAGGCACCACCCCTGCCCATGCTGGCCGCCCAGCCCTCCGGCTGCCGGCCATGAGTAACACCACAGTGCCCAGTGCCCCCCGGGCCAGCAGCGACTCCATGGTGGGCTACGTACTGGGGCCTTTCTTCCTCATCACCCTGGTCGGGGTGGTGGTGGCTGTGGTAAGGAGCCCCCGACTCCCGTGCTAAGGCAGGGCGGGGAGGCCTGGTCCGGTCTGCACACAGCACCTAGCTGTCCTGAGAAGGGAGAGGAGGACGTGGAGGTGGGTGCCCTCTGGCCAGTGGGCCTTCCCGGGTCCGGGCCCAGCAGCCTCCAGTGTGTTTCTGTTACAGGTGATGTATGTCCAGAAGAAGAAGCGGTGAGTGCCCCTGCCCCGTGCCCTCCTCCCTGTTCTGGCCCCCCGCCCTAAGGCCCTGTGGGACCTGGGTTCTCTGCACACATGTAGCCTGCCTGCAGCCCCAGAGACAGGTCCGCTGGCTCTCACTGGGATGAGGGCCCTGGGGGCAGACTTGTGACCCCGCAGCCTGTTGTCCTGCCTTGGAGAGGGGAGTGGAGACAGGTGTTATGTGAGGGCAGGGGGTCCCTGGGCTGAGCCCTCACCTGCCCCCAGGGTGGACCGGCTACGCCATCACCTGCTCCCCATGTACAGCTACGACCCCGCGGAGGAGCTGCATGAATCTGAGCAGGAGCTGCTCTCAGATGTGGGAGACCCCAAGGTAAGCAAGCACCCTCTGGGGGCGCAGGGAGCAGGTGGGGGTGGGCGTGTGTGTTCTCCCACCTCCCCTGAAGCCAGAGCCCGCCTGGCATGCCTGCCCCCCCTCCCCCAGGTGGTACACGGCTGGCAGAGTGGTTACCAGCACAAGCGGGTGCCCTTGCTAGATGTCAAGACCTGACTGGACCCTTCGCCTGACCTGCAGCCTCAGAGCCTGTCAGCCCGGTGTGCCCAAGGCCCGTGCTGGGTACTGGGGCTCCATTCCTGTACCCACTTTCCTAAGCTCTGCACAGCAGCCCTCCTACCCCACCCTCCCAGGTTTTCAGCCCTCTGGACGCTGAGCCTGCCCCACCTCCAAGAGGACCCAGAGACAGCTTCGCTTTTAGCCCAACTGGGCTGGGCTTTGCCAGACCCCTCCCCACCAGGAGGGCTTTGGGGCAGGTTTCCATGGTGATGGGGCCAGATGTATAGTATTTGGTATATATCTATTTTGTAAATAAAGACGTTTTGTGGCTAAGGGTGTAGATAGCTTCAAGAGGGCCTTAACCTTCCCTGGAGCCAGCTCCACCCCCACCACCACCCCCACAGCCAGGTTCCAGGGCACACACCAGACAGACTCCAGTCCAGAAAAGGATATTTTTTATTCAAGTAACTGCAAATAGGAAACCAGAGGGGGAGCCCCAGGCTGGGACAAATAATGGCTACCCCCTCCCCGACAGAACAGGGGAGAAGGTGGCCCCTACACCCTTGTGGGCAGTGTGGGCCCCTCCTCACTCTGCTGCAGCATCCTAGGGGCAGGGCCCCACCTTCCCTGGGACTGGGGTGGTCAGTAACCCAGGGCTGACCGGGGGAGGCGATGAGGATGTGGCGCTGGTGGCAGCAGCAAGTCGGATGTCAGAGAATGAAACATTGAACAAAAACAACACAACTGTCCAGAGGTAGATTGTGAACAGAGGAGGAGATGGAACCAGAACCTTGGGGGGTGGGGGGGAGTACGGGGGGGCAGCCCCAGCTCGCCTGAACCACAGGTGGCTGCATGTCCCTCGCTACTGCGGTACTCAGATCCCAGGGTGAAGGCGAGGTGGGCTGGCGCCCCTGCCAAGTCAGGATTGGGGGCTCAAAACCCTCCTGCCTTCCTGCACCCCAAAGGGCTGCCCAGCTAGTGCAGGGGCTAGGTAAGGGAGGTGGTGTGAGCCCCGACTGGTGAGACAGGTCGGCTGGGGCATCCTGGGGCTGAGCACCCCCTCCGCCGGCCACACCTCCTATGGTACA